AATGGAGTATAAAAAAGAGTTCCTGGAAGGGAGAAAATGGAGGGGGGGGGGGGGGTTCATAGTATGATCTAATACAAGTAAAGAGGAAAGTCATACAGAGATTAGATGAGTGATGGTGAGTAAGTGAGTGATAGGTGAAGATTTTAAGTACCAGAATCAGTACCTGTTTTATTTGAGATCTCTCCTTCAGAACATGGAGCGCAACCATAACAGCAAATGTCCTGTGTTTTGTCATTGACTATCCTGCTTCCTGGAAGGCAACTGTCTGAACATCTGGATCTTGGAACCTTTTGAGACAAAACATGATTAAAGGAGACCTATGAGGTGAGTGTAAATCACTCATCCTCATAGTTCGAGCCGTCGTGTGAAAATTAAACTGTCACACGTCGGCTCAATAGATCAGAAAGTGAGCCAACACATACTGTCACTCGCTCACTTCTCGATCATCTCCCTACCGAGAGCAATGACTCTCAGTCACAGCTCCATGGAGGGATTCCCCCCTCCCTGCTCCGATCCTCCACCGGTGACTGGCGGAACGGACGGGGAAGGGGGTGGGCACAGCTGGCTCTGCCTCTAAATAGGCAAAGCCAGCTGTCATTCACACAGCTAGGTGGATCTCGACAGCATTGTCGGGATCTGTCCCGGCTGCGGCGGTTTCAGTATACTGCGAGCTGTAGCTCGTGATATACTGAGCTTTGGGTCACGGGAGGACACTAGCATATGTCCTCCCGTGACCCTTAGGAGAACTATGGGGAAAAACGCTTGCCCCGTAGTTTTCTTTTAATAACAACATGGAGCAAATTAACAACACAAATCTGTGACCTCTATAAATTGTGTAAGTGTATGAGTTGGAAGATTGGTCTCAGAAATAGTCTGCGATCATGAGAGTCGCCGGGGTTCATTTACTTAAGGCAACTTATGCTGTTTACATTGCATGTCAATTTTCCCTTAGCTTAAAGAATAAGGGGAAGTTCTGCTGACTTCCATCGATGAAAAGAATAAAAATAAAATACTTTAAAAGATGTCTCATACAAGTTCCAACAATAAAAAAGTGATAGAATTTCAGGGGAAGGGACTGAGGCCGCCTATTCAAAGTTTCTTATTGCTGTAGTTTAGGTCTGTAAAAAAGTATAAAATGCATAAAAATTGACAAGGAATCACTGATTTGGTCCTGTTCCCTGCACACATTGTTAGGCCAACAAATTACCCTTGTTATTAGGTTTTCAACCAACTGCTCATTACAAATTTCGTGACAGGGTTGATTTATTAAACGCAAATAGGCAGTTCACTTAACAAGGGAATTTTCACTTTGAGGAGGAGTTTGCTCCTTAGTTTAGTGAATGAAGTGAAGCTGGCTTCTATCACCCAATTATGTCCATGCAAAAATACTGTTTTTTAATTATTTTCCTAACACATGATTGGGTTTTCTTTGCTAAGTGAAATTTCATCACATGTACATTGCATGTCAATTTTATGGGAAAGTTACCTTGCAAAGTGCAAATTCCCTTGTAAAGAAACAGATGACTTGCCTTTTAAATCAACCAAAATAATTAGCTTTACTCCATCTGCTTGATCTATCATGGATAGCTGCATTTCCATATACATTATAATGGATAACACATCACTTCTTTTTTAATACTTGTGTAATCAAATGATGCATTAGTTTTGGTAAAATTCAATTTCTTGAAACCTGCTCTGCATTTTTTATCTTTATTCCCCCCGTTCCTCTAGATTTTGTTTAGGAAAAAAAAGTCATTTGGATGCCAATTTAATTTTTACAACAAACGGTTGAGTAAAATTATCAGCTCAAAAAACCTCTGAAATAATTTTTAGGAAATCTATTCCCAATTTCCGGTGCCTAATTCTCCTTTATGTTTGAAAGAGCTCAATATCCCACACCCTAGAATTCTATCTTAAGTTGAGGGGTAGTTTTATATTTTTGTACCTTTCCATTCATATGAACATTTTTGACTTTCGTGCTGAAGGTATCGGGCTGTTATCTCACCATAAAATAGAGTTTAGCCTTCCCTAATGTAAAAAAAAAC